ATATATTTTTTTCAAAAATAAAAACATTATCGTTTTATCAAAACCACATAAAACTGTATTATATCGACATAGATAAAGAATAAAACGAAACATTGAAATCGAGATATGTCTCGATGCATTGCGCGAGTACTCTTCTAGTTATATTATAAAATATATTATTGTTTAATTGCATATAATTCAAAATTACAATTAAATTGTGCGTAAATAGATTTATCAAGTAAGGATCAACATCTTATTTTAAATATACAATATCTAAAATATAATTACAACAATTATCGAGTTCTAATAAAATACTTAATCATTATTTTTATAAAAAAATATATTATTAAATCAAAAATAAATTACTTCGTTATTAAACTTAAATTAAGTTTATAATAAAAAAATTGAATTAAGGAAATTACATTAAAAAAATAGAATTAATTAACTTGATACTAATACCGATATATATTATTTTTTCAAATTTATATTTTATTCAAATATAAAAACATTACTACTTTCTCAAAAACACATAAAACCATATTATAACATTGATATAGACAAAAAAATAAAACAAAACATTAAAATCGAGATGTATCAAACTGCATTACGTGAATACCTTTTTAGTTATTATCTATACTAACTTATAAACCATATTTATCAAAAGTCTTAAAAATAATTTTTAATGCACAAAGTCTTAAAATTCTTTAAAACAACTCATAATGCATTAAATATTACTACTTTATGCATTCATTCTTAAAATATCTTAATCTACAATTAAAATAACATATAGTACAAGTTACCAAAGCACATTATTATCTTTTCTTTCTATGTTCCTAAAATAGTTTTGACACATTTTACTCATGCATTCACCATCTCATACATCTATGTCTTCTCCCCATCCCCTAAAGTGAGATTCAAATTGATATTCACCATGAGTTATTAAAAGTTCTCTCATTCAATTGCTCTAGAATGCTCGGTCTCGCTCTTGATCTCTTGATTATTTGCTCTTGGTGTAAATCGAACACATTTGTGGAGTCGTTTAAATATATTGGATTTTAAATGTATTTGATTTTAAACTGTGATACAATTTTTTTCATCGATAGACTGTAATTGAAAGCATAACTCTTATTTATTCAAAACCACATAAATCGTATTATATCAACAAAGACAAAAAATAAAACAAAACATTAAAATAAATATATATCTCGTTGCATTGTGCGAGTACCCTTCTAGTTATTTATAATAAAAAAGCCAACTTATTATTTACTGATTTTATAATTATGTAATAAAATTTATTGTTAATTAATTTTTTAATTTTAGATTTGAATTTCAAAAAACTATCTATAATTTACAGGTTTCTGGAAAATATCTTCTATGAGATATTTTAAATATTCAATATTTTTATTTATACCCACCGAAGCCCAAAGGGTTACCCAGGCCCAATCCTGACACTTGTAATGAAATGAAATATATCTGTGATTAATTAATTAAAAAATTAATTCATAACTTATTAATTAAAATAAATTAAAAATACAAAATTCGTCATATAAATTACAACATTAAAACAGTATCACTAATATGGATGCTAATGGCTTGGGTTGATCGGGTTGAATATATTTAAACAACTCAACCCAATGTTTGCGGTTTGAAAAATCTTAACCCAACCCAACCTGTACGGATTGGTCGGATTGATACTTTCGTACATTAAAATATTATTCTAACTTTAAATATGTTATTTCTCTACTCATAACTTTTTTCATCATCAACCATTTGATACAACTTATCCATATTTCTTACGTATATCACATTCAGTTAATTTTCTCAATTTACATATATATGTTCACAGTTACTGAACATATATACGAATGAGTGTATAGAGATTTGAATAGATTGAAAATATGTATATATGAAAAGTATACATGATAGTGTAATTGTCTAATGTATATATTCAACAATCATATTAAATCCAAGAAATAAAAGAATATCGGGTTCATCGGGTTGGGTTAGGTTCAAATAATAGTAACTCAATATCAACTCAATACCTACGGTTTGACAAGTTTACAACTCGATTAGACATCAAGTTGCTTCGGATTGGGTTATTTTGCGTTGGGTTGGGTTGAACGGGTTGGTCGAGTTTTTGAGCACCCCTAATCACTAATATCTTTAAAATGAATTTACTATTGGATATTTTAAAAAATAATTCTATTTTTAACGTTAAAATAAATTAAAAAATAACATTATTTGTGATTTTACTATTATTGTTGTTTTATTAACAGTTAATGTATGTGACATTATAAAAATATGACAAAGAATCGTGTTGGAAATAGAGTTAAGATGAGAGGTGGGAGAACAGATATGGACCATTGATCACATTTAATCTCAAACCCAACTATGTATTGCGCTTGATACGAGGATTGATCCGGTGTTTCTCAGTGCATTCATCCTGGTGTGCATACAAGCGTGAAAACATACAAGCGTGAAGATCCCTTCTTATGTTTCTCACCTTAAGTCTCTTTCTCACCGACACTCAACCTATGAACATATAGTAATTAAATTATCTAAACCCTCTGTTAGAGACAAAAAAAAATCTATATATCAACCACAAGGGTGGTGTCTGATTGGTTTAAGCTTGGGTCCAAAGGTCAAAAGTACCAGGAGGTCTTAGGTTCAAATCCGAGGAGAAATAAAAATCCTCTTGTGGCCACGGAGGTTCAAATGCGGTGACTCCGGGATATCTGCAAAGCATGTGGTCATTCTGGAATTAGTCAGCTCGCATAACGGGTTATATATCCAGGTTAATAAAAAAAAATCTATATACCATACATCGTGTTACTTTTTGTAACAGATGATCACAAAGTAATAATATACCCACCTAATTTTACGGTAGAACTTCAAATATTTGCTATATCCTGAAATCCAAGATCAAACTGCCATTCAAATCACAACTGGAAACAGTTAAATACTAATTGATAACTCGTACGAAACTCTGGTTTTCATCATTGATTTAACTCACGAATTCTAACGAAAATTCAATCAAGATCAATACAAATCAACTATCATAGTTAAAATCCCCAACTATGATGCTACAACAGTTTCATAAAGATAATATTCATATACCCGTCAATTCGAAAAAGATTCAACCTAATCTCAAATAACATTATAATATAAAAATTAAAAAAATGATTATAAAATTATTTTAGGGAATTTCTTTTTAGCCATTTTAGATCAGCAAATATGAATCAAATAGTTAAACTAGTTTTTTTTATTTGTCTTAACGTTAAAAATATTAATTAATTTAAAAAAATATTTAATAATGCGTTTCTTTCGAAAAATATTTAACAAAAAAGAAAACATAATTTCTTATTTAACGGTCTAAAAGAATTTGATTTTTAAGACTTGAATATATTAGCGAAGGCAAATATATTGATATTTAATATTTATTATGTGAAAAATGAAATAAGTTAATGATAATAATTGAAATAATAAAGACAAAGATATGATAACATCACCAACCATGAAACTTGTTCTTTGTTTTGAAAGATGATGTGATCATAAAATGAGAAGTTGATGTTAATCTTCAGGGATTCTCTTATTTTTGTTTTTTATACCATAAATAGAGATTTTTATTTTTTATTTTTAAGTTAATTACTTTTTAATAATTAATTTGGCTTAACGATTCATCTCTAAAATCATCACTTAGGGGGTGTTTGAGATTGCTTATAAAAACAACTTATTGACTTATTTTGGTGTGGCGTCGGTAATAAGCACTTTTGAGTGTTTGAATAAACAACTTATACCGATGTCAAACCGGTAATAAGTTGTTTTTGAATAAGTTAAACTGTTCTGACTTATAATAAGTTGATAAGTGTTTTTGTAAAAAATCATAAGTTGTTTCAAATAAGTAATCCCAAACACCCCCTTAAAAGTTTATATCTTTTAAAATCGTTGGATTAATATTTTCTCTACTTCATAGTGCATTTGGTAGATCTCCCTTATAAGGGTCTTCGGCGAAATCAAAATTATTAATTTATAAGAACACAAGGATCTATCGGTCCAATGATCCCTGATAATCTCACCATCCAGGTGGCGGTCATGGGTTCAACTGTATTTAATTTGTTGTATATGAATATTATATAATTAAAAATAAAATGAAATATATCGACAATAAGGGTATTGTTAAGCTACCGACTATTTCACAACATTTGAAAATTTAAGAAGGAGCAATTTGGTCAAAGGTAAAGTTATGACATTAATGCCACCACCCTTCTCGTTACGACCGCCTCAATCAAACAAAACCAACCAGGTGAGCCATGCTCTTTATGACAACCATTAATTTTCTTTATATCAACACTGTATCCCCATTTCAGATCCATGCTCCAGTCGACATACATGTACATCAAGAATCTCTTGTCACTATACATGTGGTACAAGAATTCAAGTCATAGTACATATTTGGATTCAAGTGACGTAACCATAATGATAAAAGAAACAACAGTTTCACAATATTATTGTATACGAATACCAAATTAAAGAAAAAAACGGTTTTTTTTTTGTCGTTAAAGATTGTCTCAACACATAAGTTTTTGCCACCACCACTCACCAGTAACTGATACATTGGAAACAGTCAAAAGGAATAACATATAAACGATCTAACTTTCAATATTTTTTAACAGACAACCATAGAAGGCTATAATCCAGCTATACAACAACTTTAATATAACGTAAGATATTTTCAAAATTCTATCATCAACCCTTGTCAGTAATCATTTCCGGTCTATTGATTCAAAATCTACAGTTAAGTGATTTTCTTGATTCCGGTTCTGTAGTTTTTCCACTACAAATTTGTTACTGCAGTATGATTTTTGCTCAGTTTTGATCCCTTACAGATATGGGTTTCTTAATTTTGTCTTCTACAATATCTGTATTGCAACATCGGCACTCTGATATGTATTTTTGCTCGATTTTAAACCCTTACAAATACAAGTTTCTTGGTTTTTTTCCCGGTTTTAATCCCTCATATGTCAAACAAACCAATATCAAATCTTGAACATGATCAAATTGGGGTTAGAAACAAATATCAAAAACACCCACCAAGATTGAAATCCAAAAGGAGGGCCTTTTTTGTAAACCTCCATTTTAACCCCTTCTATTTCTCTTACATTTCCAAATATTACCCTGTACATAATTATTTCTTCTTTTTTAGTCTTTTCTTGGGCATATTTATATAATTAACAGAGAGAAATGCAACAAAGATCGTTTCTTTCCCTTTTCTCCGATCATCGTCTCAATTTTTCAGGGCCTCAGGGCCGCCGGCTCCGATCATCGCCTATAAATAAATCTATGCCTAATCGATCTTGCTAATTCCGATTCTCTTCACCACCGCTTTGTTCCTAAACCCTTCGCCGACGCCACTCGCCGCCTGTTTCATGCACATTCCGCCACCGTCGCCGGATCTTTGTTGTGGGTTATGTTGTTCTACGGTCGTCATGTAATTCCTCACCTCCGTCCTTATCATTTCTTGCATCACAGACAAAAACTCGGCACTGAACGGCGTGAAAGATTTCTCCGGTTGACCTACAGCCGCCACCGGATCTCGGGATACTTTAAGCTGAAGCATCGCCGTTGAAATCGCCATCGGGATCGATGACATGAGGTCGGTGTTGTTTAGGCTAAGGTTTTGTTGACGATCGATCGGAACTTGTCGTAACGGCATGGCTTGGATGGGGATCGGAGGAGGTGGAGGCGGTGGCGGTGGTGGTAACTGACTCGCCACCGGTTTTGGTGGCATTAACAGCATCGGGGTCGCGGTGGATGTCGACTCTTTTGGTTCAACTCCTGGAAGCGATAAGCTTAACAAAGTAGGAGGATCCTTCGGCAACGGTGGTGGTGGCGGCGGCGGAGGAGACGACGTCGCGACTTCGATTTGCGAAGTAACCACCGCGCCGGACCTCGCGACTGGCCGGTATACATGCGACGACGAAATCGCAGCCACACTGGAATCACTCACGTCGGATCCCGACGGACTACCCGGATTAAAATAACGACCCGAAACAGGAACCGCCGACCCGGCACTCACCGATCGCTTTAACGAAGGCTGTTGAATAGAAAACTCATTAAACTCTTCATTCGTCATAGACGAACACTTCCTTTTCAAGGTCGAGTTCCAGTGGTTTTTAATGGCGTTATCCGTCCGGCCAGACAACAACCGCGCAATCGTCGCCCACTTGTTTCCAAAGCGAGCATGAGCACGAAGAATCGTCTCATCTTCTTCCTCCGTAAAGGCCCGGTGCTCCACCTGTGGCGAAAGCTGGTTGCACCACCGTAACCGGCAGGATTTCCCGGATCTACCAGGTATAGATTTTCCGATAAGAGACCAATTTCTAGGGCCATGTTTATCAACAAGCTGTTGAAGCATGTCATCTTCTTCAGGACTCCATGGGCCTTTGATTCGATCGATATCTTTCTTGGGATTACTGCAAGCCATGAACATTTGGAAGGAGAGAAGATGGATTTTGGTAAAGAATGATGGAAGGTTTGGAGGGTTTTATATGAGAGAGAGGATAGGGATGACCGGTGGAGAAGGTGGGGTAACCGGTTGTGACTGGAAGAAGCGGTTGTATTTGGGATACAGCCTGGCTAACGGACACGCGTCACATCAGATCCCAGCACTGATTTACACATACTAGTCTTGGTAAGCTAGAAGTATTTATGACCACGCGCGTGGTTATCACTCTTTTGTCGTTATTTGATGTGTAAATATCTCTGGTTACTTTAAAAAATCTGCATTTTTTATTTTTTTATATTTAATATTATTGTAAAGGAAAAAAGAGTAAATAGAATCAAAAAGATATTTTATATATGGAAAATGTTTTAAGTCTAAATACGCTTTTAAAATATAATTACAATTTCAGTACATATTCTAATGTCAAAAATATGTCTTATTTCTTATTATCTCAAATCGAAGGGGGCAGTTTACCTAATTGCTTACCTGGTAAGTATTTATCGATAAAAGTCAACACTATGATTTATTTTGTTACGTAAGATTTTAGTACATGAAAACATATCGAATAAAACAAGTTATTGGGTAAGCGCTTACCTAGGTAAGAGTCGTCATCCTCATTTACCGGGTAAGACTCTTTATCATTCTTATTTCTCTTACCTGGTAAGATTCTTGGCACTTCTTATGTTTATCCGAAGAGGAAATTTATCCGGTAAGCACTTAGCAAGAAAGTGTTTAGTAAACGGCCTCTAAGTCAAGATTTGTTTTTTTGCCCCTTTCGTTTTTGTTTCTAGTTTGTATTATTTGTGTTTTTGGTCGTTGTGTTATGCATTTTGGTATGATATTGTTATTTCCATGAATTTCATGTTAAAAAGGTCCATTAAGAAAGGCCTTCTTGGTTCTCAAGGTAAAGTCTTGATTAATAACACTAAGATGTCGTTTATTAAACGTTTTATTGGGTAAATGTAGCGATGGTAATGGGGTCGGAGAATAGCGGGGACCTCAATCTCCATACCCAGTCCCACTTCCCGTCCCCATCGGGGAATACGATGTTATGCCCATCCCCGTTGGGGTAACGGGAATCCCAATCTGGGAACCGTTGATTTTTCTTCGTCTACAAAATTTAATCTCTTACGTAATATCTTTATGTATATTAAATATATAAATAACAATTTCACGTTTAAACAACATATCATACTCAACTTTTAATAAACCAATTTCCAATTATTTTGACTTGTACAAGAGTAGCATCAAAGAAAACTAATTCAAACACAAATATATCAATTACAATACTTAATAACTAAAATCTTGTACTGAGATGTTATCACCAAAAGTTAATGAACAATGAAACCGATAATATAATTCCTCTTACAAGTTTACCTCATCAAATTATGATTATATTTACTAAATTTATGGACTACAAGTGATACAACCGGTAGTTTAGAACCAACAGTGGTCCGTGTGGCTTGGGCTGCGGCCATACCTGCGCAATCACTGTCCGATTTCAATTCAGGACATGGGTGACTTCTAAGTCGCGAGAGTCGACCTGTTTGGCTTAAAAGCCGATTTTGTCTAGGGCTTCACTTTTTCCACCCACCTCTTCTTCTCTCTTCGTTAAAGCATTTGGGAGCATTTACTTGTGCATTTAAAGAGATCTTGGAAGGTTTGAAGCTAACATTTCAAGCATAGGTCAAGTGCCTAGTTCATCTCCCATATTCAGAAGTCTTGGTTTAATTATACTGATCGCTTCTATGTGGTGATTTTGCCCTACCATCCTTTGGAGACATGGTGTGTTGACATCTACTAGTTAAATTCCTCAAGTATGCATAATTCACCCTTAATGTCTCCTTGCATTGGATCCATATGTATTATTCATTCTTATGTCAAGATAGGAGTTCGAATGTCCTCTTCTTGGTGTCATTGGTTTGGGACAAGGGAGGAGTTTATGACGACATTCGTGTGTGAGCCCTCATCTCATGCTCCTCCTACATTTTTACTTCAAGTGGGAGTGATGAACGAGTGTAAGAGGGGAGGATGTCGCAAAGACTGCTTTTAGGACACGATATTGTCACTACGAATTTCTGGTGATGCCATGCGGATTTTTGACTAACACTACAACGGTCTTCATGGATTTGATGAATCGGTTTTGTCGTCCATTCTTGGTCAAGTCTGTGATTGTATTCCTTGATGATATTCTCGTCTACTCCAAGGATGAGGAGGGGCATGGGAGACATCTCCGTGAGGTTTTGACGATATTAAGATAAGAGAATTATAAGCTAAATTCTCCAAATGTGATTTTTGGCTAGGAGAATTCCAATTCTTCGGACACATGGTGACTCGGGAGGAAGTGAAGGTGGATCCAGCGAAGGTCAAGGATATGATGATGTGGGAACCGCCAAAGAGCCTTACTGAAATCTATAGCTTTTTGGGCTTGGCGGGATATTATCAGAGGTTTATCCGACACTTCTCTAACAAGGAAGAATGTGAAGTTTGCATGGACCGAGGCCCAAGAAATATTGTTTCGAACATTGTAGAAGTTGTTATGCGAGACTGAAAGTGGTGGATGGAAGGGATAGGATGAAGATGACGACTAGATATACGGGAAAGGTCGCTGGTGAAGAGGGTCGAAAGAGGGGGGGCGTTTGTTTAAATACATAATATCAGAATAATTCATTTTGAACTTTTTTTAATGAAAAATAATTGGAGAATGTAAAAATAATAAGATGTAGTCACTTAAAGGAGTTTTTAAGAAACATTTGATGGAAGATAACCGTAATTATTGAAAAAAGTGAAAGAAAATAAAGAAAGATGTAAAAAAGGGACCTTAACAATAATTCCATAACTTACTTTATATATTTCTCCTGACTTGGGATAATGTGAGATCAAGGGTTTTTCGTGAAACCCACAAGACCAATTCTTAACCCTTGGATTAGATCTACAATATGAACATTCATAATTACAAAATTGCCACGAGACTTCTCAATAATCACAAAATTGTCACCGTGCAATTTTAGACCATTAGCTTATAAAGTTTATCAATGAACATAAATTGGTCTTACAGGTCTCACGAAAAACCTTTGATCTCACGTGAACCCAACACTATTTCCCCTTCCTTTATCTTCTCAATTATTTTTATTTTGTCCCCCTCACCTATACTAAACTTTACAAAATGGTTGTGAAACCATTAACAAACCAAAATGTCACAAAATGGTTACAAAAATATTACAATATGAAACATATATTATAGAACTATGAACGCTTTAGAAAAACATTACGGTATGAAACAACTATGAACAAATAAGTAGGAACAAGTTTGAAATGGTTACAAAGACATTACGATATGAAACAACTAAGACATGATTCTTCATTATATAGATATATTCCTTAAAAAAAACAACCGATATTCATTTTTTTATTAACCTGGATATCCAACCAGTTATGCGAGTCAATTAATCCCAGGGCGATCACCTGCTTTGCAGATAGCCCGAAGTCACCGCATTTGAACCTCCATGGCCATAAGGGGATTTTTATTCTTCCTTGGACTTAAACTTGAGACCTCCTGATACTTTTGATCTTTACAGTACATTTGAACCTCCATTTGAACCAATCATATTTGTGAGAATTGAAGAAAATAAAATAAACAAAACCTACATCTATTTAGTGGCAAGAAAGATGGATGTTGCTAACATTTCACATTCTATTGGGACCCATCATCACATTTACATTTATTATTCCCAACTTAGATTGGTTTCATAACAATTTTAAATATTATGACACATGTGTAGTCATTCATAACATAGTTTCTAACTGTTTAGTAAAACTTGCATGGTTTAGATCAACCTTTTTTACACACACTCATTATAATTATATATATAGAGAGACTTGGGATCATGTAAGATCAATGATTTTTCGTGAGATCCGTAAGATTAATTCTCAATCCTTGGATTAGATCTACAATATGAAAATCTAAACATTCATAAACGCCACGAGACTTCTCAACAATCACAAAATTGCCACCGTGCAATTTAGACTATTAGATCATTAACTTATAAAGTTGATCAATGAACATAAACTGGTCTTACAGGTCTCATGAAAAACCCTTGGTCTCACGTGAACCCAACTCTCTCTCTCTCTCTCTCTCTCTCTCTCTCTCTCTATATATATATATATATATATATATTATCCATGGTGATTGATCAAGGGGGTTATCAACATAAGAAATTGGGAGTGTTCTCGTTTGAACTCCTCCATATATACAAGAGTGTGTGTGTGTGTGTGTGCGTGTGCGCGCATTGGGGGGGTGAGGGGGTTGGATTCATATGAAACCGGACTGTTTTCCTAAGACCCGTGAGACCACAAAATACACTGAAACGTCAAAATAAATCATTGTGAAGGTATAAGAATACAACAAAAACATTATGAAGGTACAATACATTCACAAATGTTTTGTTGTGAATGTTTAGTGTTATTTATGTAATCTCACGGGTCTCACGTAAACAACATTATCTCACATGATCATAAGTGATATATATATATATATATATATATATATATCTTTAATCATTTGAGAACTCCAAAATTTATGAGATCTGTGAGATTCATCTTAATTAAAATAATTAATGTTATTAGTTAATGAGATAATTATCATCTCTGTCTCCTCTCTTCCTAACATACACACAACCTTATTCTAGGGTCAAAGTCGTATGTGATTTTAGTATAGAAAACAATATGATTCAACCATTCTGTTATTATATTGTTTTCATATGAACGTTATTCACTCTCTCTCTATATGATAAAAAGTAAAAGGGATAGGAATGAGCAGACGATTCGTTTAAATCCACCCTTTTTAAATGTTAAAGGTTAAATGTAATAACTTCTTTTTTTATACTTCTTTAGTGTAAATGTACTTTTTATCATAACGGTATTAAGATGTAATTACTTGTATTTCATATTTATTTTGACCAAAATAAGTAATACAGTAAATTTTGAAC